ATTTACTACAAGAGCGTGCAATTGCTGGCTTATGCCGATGACATCGATATCATCGGTATCAAAAACCGTGGAGTCTGCTCTGCCTTTTCCAAGTTGGATAAGGAAACAAAGCGAATGGGTCTGGTGGTAAATGAGGACAAGACGAAATATCTCCTGTCATCAAACAAACAGTCAGCACATTCGCGCCTTGGCACCCACGTCACTGTTGACAGTTACAATTTCGAGAAAGTAGAGAATTTCGTTTACTTGGGAACCAGCATTAACACCGATAACAATGCCAGCATGGAAATCCAATGCAGAATCACTCTTGCCAACAAGTGCTACTTTGGACTGAGTAGGCAATTCAGGAGTAAAGTCCCCTCTCGACGTACGAAAACCACGCTCTATAAGTCACTCATCATGCCCGTGCTGGTATATGGCGCAGAAGCATGGACAATGACGACATCCGATGAGGCGGCTCTTGGAGTGTTCGAGAGAAAGATTTTGCGGAAGATTTACGGGCATTTACGCGTTGGCGACGGCGAGTACCGCAGACGATGGAACGATGAGCTGTATGAGCTTTACAACGACATGGACATTGTGCAGCGAATTAAAATATAGCGGACCGCTGGCTTGGCCATGTCGTTCGAATGGCCACCGACGCTCCAGCTCTGAAAGTATTCAACCTGGAACCCGCTGGTGGTAGCAGAGGAAGAGGGAGGCCCCCACTGCGATGGGAAGATCAGGTGGAGAAGGACTTGGCTTCACTTGGCGTTTCCAATTGGCGTCAATTGGCACAGAAGAGAAACGACTGGCGTGCTTTGCTGAACTCGGCCAAAATCGCTTAGGCGGTTACAGCGCCAAATAAGAAGAAGAAGAAGATTTTTCTGATTATTTATGAAAAATATCGTCATTTTGATCTGTTTGTAAGTAAGTTTTGTGGCACTAGGAACATCTTACACAAGCAGTTGTGTCTGTCTCTCCTTTCCGAAATATTTTTTTTGCTTAATGTATGCTATTTACTGTAAGTGGAAAGAACTGAATATATGTTTTTAAAGTTTTTCTATTTAACAAGAAGAGGAAGAGCGAAAAGATTTTGCATATGTATTAGATATTTCGAAATATTCTTTGTTATTCATACATATGTATGTACAAAAAGATGCGATAAGTAAAGTGCGCCGAAATATAAAAAACAGCGGTTACGCTCACTTGGTCATGTCGCACAATGCGGCCGAAATTCAAAATTGGGCCCAAAATTCGAAGGTTTAAAGAAATGATTCGAAATTTCGTACTAGGGGGTTTTAGAGGTCGCTAATTACGAATCCGCTTCAGAATTTCAAAATTCGAAATGGCGGATACAGTAAGGCGTCTGGTAAATTTCGGGCTTTTTAATAAAAATTCTTAGAAAGATTTTGAGTATGCAGTTTTATAGCCAACTCAATTTTAGTGTCACAAGGTCCAAGTTTGAAGTAGCTAGGACTTACCGTTGATTTTTAAAAATTTTTTGTTGTTGACGGTGTCAGTTATTTTCTTCCATAAGAAGTATGTTCGATGATATGAAGAAAATGAGCAACACCTTCAACAAAAAAAATTTCCAAAAATCAACCGTAAGTCCCAGCTTCTTTAAACTTGCACTTTATTATACTTAAATTAAATGGGCCACAAAACTGCATACTCAAAATCTTTCTGTGAAATCTAATTAAAAAGATCGAAATTTTTAATACAGGTGAAGCTAATATTTATAAGCATATTAAAAACAAAAAAAAAAACATAAGGAGCAGAAATGAGCATTTGAGTTATGTTTTATTCTGTAGCTAATACTTTTCTACGTAAACTCCAATAGGTTTAAAGGCAGCATCCGAAAGCGTGTTGTTACTGTTGCATTTAACAACTCAAATTTTGTTAAAAATAAACGAAAAAATACCTTTAATTACATTTTTATTCTTAAAAATTTCTGTTACGGTATTTGTTTTCATAAATTTTTTAACGTATTTTACTAACCTTCAGACGTAGAATCCATTTAGTTTTGTTTGATTTACTATTCTCTAACTACTTTTATACGTTAATAACTTTTCGCTTTTTATTACAATAATCATGTGCTTGGAAGAAGGATTTAGGGTACAGGTCGTTAAAATGAACAGTTTTCGCTCTTAGGTGATCCCTTTAGCCAACTCAATGTCAAAAAAGACCTATCTAGAAACTTTATTTTCTCGAATTTTGGCCGCACTTTTGGATTTCGGCCGCACTGTGTGTCGTACAGATGGACAGCAAGAACGGAAAATAGAAATTTCAAATTGTACCTAATTTGACAATAGAAATGTACCTTTTTGCTGTCAAACGTATCTAAAAAGTATCTCACGATTTTGTTAACTTTTCTTTATTACTTTCAGACTATTGGTAACAATTAAATAAATTTATACATTATTTGCGTTACTAAGAAAGTAATTAATATATCAATACAGTTGAATTAATATTCATAAAAATTCAATAAAGATATATGTTTGTACATTGGGGTGGTCCAAAAAAAGTCAAGTCGGAATTTTAATGCTCTCACCCTCTAGGACTGTACTATACCGAAAAAATTGTTTTTATTTGAAAATCAAAAAATATTAAGGGGACGCTCAAAGCACTCAAAGTTTTCCATGTATTTTATATGGGGAAAAACAATTTTCGTAGAAATGGTATAAAATTTTTGATAATCAATATTTTTCGATCGAAAAACTTTGTTTCTCTTTTGGAGATTTTCAGTAATATTACCAAATTCTTTATTTAATCATTTTATATTATTAAGTATTTCTTATAGGACCCCTAAAACCCTCAAAAAATGCAATGGGGATCCATAAAAAATCGCTAGTATAAGAAATGGTAAAATAAGCAATTGGGTATTATTATTGGCAGTCTCTTCAGGAGAAGCAACGTTTTCCGTTCAAAAAATTAGATTTTACAGATTTCTATACCATTTCAACGAAAACTTGTTTTTCCCCATATAAAATACATGGAAAACTTTCAGCGATCACTAAATATTTTTTGATATAAATAAACGGGGTATAATTTTGTCGGTATCATTCGTTCTTTCATTTTACTTAACCCTGCTTATAAACTGTATGTTTTAGCAGGTTTTCTAATAGTTACATTTGAGTTTTCATGTTTGAGAATTACATAATTATTCAAAAATATACTGAAGTACTTAAGTAGTGAAGTATTTAAGAAAATGGCATTAGTTCTATTCATTTAATATGTTGGCTCTGAATCGCAAACAGTTAACAACATGAGAGGTACACCATGCTGACTGTAAACTGATCGGTCAATTAGAATATATGCATTGGATTGCTTTCAAACTCTTTTAGAAGTGGTCCTAGGTAGTAGTCCCTAAAGGAATAATAAATTGGGTACTTGAAGAGCATATGCGTGAGGCTTTCCATTTGGCCTAGATTGCACTACGTACATGAGGCATTTGGGTCTATTTTGTAAACCAGGCCCTTGACACAAAACCTTATGTGGTACTTCGTAGGCAGGCGAACTTGAGCTAACATTTTACTCAAAATTTGATTTACTCAACCATCGTTGCAAGCTAAATGAATTCCGCCTCTAATTTAGCTAGCTCTCAGACGGTCCGGGCGTGTTTTCTTTCGCTCTGTGCTTTATGGTTAATATTATATATCGCTCGCAATAATGAGTTTGTGTACTAATTGTGCGGAAAATTGTAGGCTTAAAGATAAAATTCTAAACGCGATTTCGGACTTGGACAGAATAAAAGCACTTTTATCGCATAAATTGAGTCAGTAAATGATAATACTAACCTGCCGGCTCCTGGTATAATTGAAAACAAACGAAATACTCGTTCAAAACATAAAGCTAGTGAAGGTGTTGTTGCTCAGCCATCTAAAATGCAAAAGCACACTCAAATGGCCTCATCTAAATCTAATGATGCTATTGTTGCTGCTAATAGCCTAACAGCTGGGAATGCACCTGATAATAATACCGGTTTAATAACTACTCCTGGTGGTAATACTGGTAATACTGGTATTTCTGCCTTTTTGCCTTCTTCTTCGGAGACATCGTCTGCTGTGAATGCTGCCAGTGAAGGTGTTATTGCTCAGCCAGTTCTAATGCGAACGCACACTCACATGCACGCTCATCTGTGCCGCCTAATGATGCTGTTGGTACTGCTAACAATCTAGTAGTTGATAAGATCACAGAAACGCATTGTGTTTCTGATGCGCCGGGTATTAATACCGGTTTTTCAATTACACCTGGTAGTAATACCGGTTTGTCTGTTGCTTCTTCTGTTCTTTCGCCTACCACTCCTGTTGGCACGTTGCCGGCTACATTTGCCAACTCATGCTTTTTGCCTGCGCGTGCTCCTGATGCTGCTTCGTCGTATGCCGCCGCTGTGGCTAATAATGTTACGTCAAATAATACAATAGCGAATAATGCTACTAACAATGCACATCTAAATAATGCACAGTGGTCTGTTGTGCCTAAAAATCGCACTCATAAAAAACAAAGGCTTTGTGTATTTGGAACTAACGATAACTCTGAGCTGGGAGTTGTTCTTCGTCAGAAATGGCTGCATATCTCTTCGTTTTTGCCCTCCGTTAATACGGAGAACATCATTGAATATGTAGCCAAACATGCGGCTATCAATAGGAATGAGATTTTATGCTATAAGCTTCTTAAGAAAAATACTAATTCGGAGGATATTAAATACATAAATTTCAAGCTTGGTGTTCCAGAACGTCAATATAATAAAATGCTGACATCAAATATTTGGCCTTCAAATGTT